ATCTTTGAGAGGAAAGAAGAGAGAGAGTTATTACTGTGGTAAGCTATAAGTTAAGACTGTGCTATTTAATTCTGTAAATGCATTTCAGGAAGCAACTTGTAGGAAAGATGGCATGTAAAATGAAGTTGTGAGGAACTAAAAGGGTAACAAATATAAAAAAATAAACAACTTCCCAATAATCCTGTATACAGGGTCATGTTTCTCTAGCAGATCATTTTGCTCTGAACTTTTCTAAAGCACTCAGACACAATGGTGATAGCTCCTACATAAAAACCTTAGATGTTATGAAGCTGTATCCAATCAAAGGATACCGATTCAATCTTACAAACGCTGGTACTAAATTAAGTTGGATAGAAATTATTACCCAAGGAGAAATCAATCTATGGTAGGAAATTTTCAAGGGTAGCTCTAGAAATGACTAGGGTAGGGGACAGATCCAAACGGACTTTGTAACCCCATATGTTAAGGCTTCCTCTGTTTTATTTTCTAGGCTTTTTCAAGAAATGTTTGTAGGGCACAAAGCTTTACACTCACATTTTTGTCTTCAGGCTAGAGAAGCTTCTGCCTTTATGCCCTAGCAATGTATAGCCCCAGTAAGTTTGAACTTCTCTGGACAGCTGCAGAAAGGGGAAAAAAAGCCCAAAACAAAATTGTATTTGAAACAGTTGTGTTTGATTGCATACATCCTACAAGTGCAGCTGGTCTGAATCAGCTCTGAAAGGATGTTGTGCAGCTGTTTCTCTGGAGCAGCACCTTTGGGCAAACAGAGCAGAGCCCAACATCTATGTACATCTCCCTGATCTCTGGAGTTCATTTTGTCCCTGCTCTGTCATGTTTAATCATCAAACATTGGGCTTTATTTTACTATATCTTCATTGATGTATGCTCAAAAGTTACTAGGCCAATCTACCATTGTACTGATTTTCCTATCAACATTTTGCTTCCAAATTAGAGCCTTGGAACTTGCCACAAAAAAAATCTAATTCTTACAAAACTGCTCTGAGGCATTTCTCATTCTTTGCCAATACCAAAAAACCTGGGTCCAAATCTTCAGATGTAAATCAGCACAGCTCCAGTGAGGCCAATAAAGGTACATCCTCTGATCATTAATGTACTGGTTCTGTTAGGATTAATCTGCACAGGATAAATATGTATCAGCAAGTCAGTCTGGAAAGATTACTTAATGGTGAGCCTGATGTGCATCCTGGCTATAGGTATGGTATAGGAATTGGAACAGAATAGATTCCATCAGAATGACAAATAATAAGGGACTTTTAAGAAACCGAATGGATTGACTTCCTGAGATTTGCTGCTATAAGGCAAATGGAGCATTCACACAGCATAGAGAATGCTACTGAATAGCAAGGTATACAGAATAAGTATTTAAGCATAATGCAAAATGAAACGGTTCCTGATTTCCTAACAGTGGTATAATATTATAGACTTGAAAGTGCTAATAACTCAAGTTTCAAAATGATTTAAAAGTAATAGTGAATTTTAAAATGGGTCAAGCATGAAAAAATGTACACGTCAAGTGATTCTTTAAAGAAAATAAAGGCTTATGCAATGCAGAGAGGAATGCGTCAAGCCAGCAATTTACTGGAACTGTGAAAACACCTAGCAATTATTTTCAGTTTGGATTGGGGTAATGGAAATTAGAATTCTAGTACTTTTGTCTTAAAACCCTTGTTGAGACAGGAATGTCCCTTTGATGAGGTTTTCTTTCTTTTCAGTCAGAATATGGACCCAAGACCACAACCTTATCATAACTACCTAAAAGCAACCCTCCACTAGCTTGTTGTAAACTATCTTGTTGCAGCTCTACGAACTAGCCAACCAACCAAATTCCACTGTGTTTGGGCCCCTCTTAGTATGTGAAAATAAAAAAAATTAGAACTTAAGATTCCAGTGGAGCATGCATCAACCTGAAATTTATGCAGCTTTTTTGCATATTCTCATTGGTTCACATAAATGATTAAGCAATAAAAGCAATTTGTGTTTGCCAGAATGTCCACATATTTACTTGATTCCAACCACCTGAAATACAGTAAAGAGAACAGACCTTGAGAATTTGATCAACAGTTTGGACAACAGTTCCACATTTACATAATGAGAAGCTAAGCATTGTGTGAATCAGTGATACCCAATCTTTTCATCTTGTGGGCCAAAGAATGGAGCCAGGTCAGTCCACAGACCACATCTGGTTCGTGGGCCCTATGCGGCACGTGGGGCGAGGCTGGGATCCAATCCCAGTGTACAGCAACAGCACAGAACCCAATTCCAGCACATGGCAATAACCCACCCAAAGCCTGACACAGCTGCACAGGGCCAGGGCCCAGTTCAGCCAGCCCAGCCATGGCTGAGCCACCCATACAGGGTTTGGAAACTTTGTAGTGGGAGAGCAGTGGTAATATTAGTTGCCACCACTTTTCCACTGCCAAATTTCCAGACTCATGGGGACACACACAGGCTGGATGACATGGTTCTGTGGACATGGTCTGGCCCTTGGGCTGAGAGTTGATCAACCCTGGTGTAAATGACTGATGACATTGCATAGTTTATTGAGACTGCACTATGCTTTGTGGGGTAGGCCATATCCATGTGGGTTTGAACTGAGGGAGTGAGGACCTACACTTATCTCAATATTCTTCCTAATCTAACACTGATGTCTGCTCACTGTTAGATGTGTCGGGATATTTGCTTTTTCTTGTTCTGAAGAAACATTTTGAATTTTTGGTATAAACTGTCGATATATCTCTATATATAGTGTATAGTGATATACTATAAAATCAGTATCAATAATAATATATAATACATATAAAACATTGTGAATTTCAGACTTTATGAATTGCAGGCCAAAAGGGAAATAGAAAGAAAAATGTTACAAACAGGCAGCCACTCCACATTACTAGAGCCCTGTGTCAGAGCAGTTTTAAGTTTCTTGCTGTGGATCCAGAGATGAGAGTTTAAGCCTCACTCCAGATCTGTAACATAGGCTGCTCCTAGTTGATGGGTAATTAGGCATAAAATGAATAAAACAATGAGCCTTTTAGTTGGGTGCCTGTAATAAATGGTAAGGTTAGAAAAGAAAGATGGTCATACTCACTCCTTGCTCCTTGTGATTTTAACTAAATTATTTTACTTGTATATGTAACTATTGTTTTTCTAGTTGGCATAGAAAAGTAAAAAAACATTAACAGCCAAGATAACGGTTAGCAATCTGATACGAGTAAGTGCGTTTACAGCATATGAAACACAATGCAATCTGCTCTAGATAAGCAAGTTACAAAAGGAAAGTTCATAATAACATTGACTTTGAATGACATTTTGATTTTGAAGAATAGGATTATGAAGAAATGAGGAGCAAAAATGACCATGCCTGTATGACTTAGGTCTGTATCTTCTACCTCCCTGAAGAGTGCCCTATAGAATAGGGCAGGGGTACTCAACCTCAGGCCATGGGCCAGCATCCTGCCTGATGAGCCACATTATCCAGCTCCCATAGTCTGGAAATTTGGAAGTGGGAAGTGGTGGCAGTGTTAATTGCTGCTTTCCTGCTGCCCAAAATCTTACGTGTTTCCCAGTTACCAAACAATGCATTTACATTTTAAGCAGACAATAGTTTATTTACAATAACAATACAAAATACAGCAAAATGTTATATATTAAAGTTTAAAATTCTTTAGTACACTTTTGATATTGTAGTGATTAACATTTTAATAATCAAAAACTTGGTGGAAACATCCATGCATTCTCCATTTTTTCTGAATTGCAGTGACTGTAGCAATCTGACTTGGCTAGTATAAACTAATAATAAATCCTGTTTGCATATTTTCAACGATATTTATTCAACATGTCCTTGATAAACTCAGATGCACACACTGGGCATGTCCAGATGAGTGAAGCTGTGCGGGACATGGCATCGCAAACACATCTGCAGCACCACAAACTGCACGGTCAGGTCTTCTCCGTGCTGCAAGGGCATGCTGCCCGTGCATGCACTATTCTGCTTCCCCACCCCGCACAGGTTTTTTTTGACCCTTTGATATCCAAGGGTCAAAAAAACCCACAGAAAAAAAAAATGGAGCAGCACATGCCCAGGCAGCATGCACTGCTGAAAAGCAGAGTTGGTTTGCCCAGAGTCATGCTGTGGCGGCCAGCTAGGCTCCGCCTGGCAGGATCGCCACTACTGCAGCCCTGGGAGGACTCTGGTTCCCAGGTAAGGCTGCTGGAGCCAGCCCAGTGCTGGACCTAGCCTCCTTTACCACCTGCTGGGGTAACTTGCCATGTGCCAAAGTGCGTGGCACAGGCATTCCCCAGGGACAAGAAGCTGCGGCACAAGGTGCACCACTGCTACTTGTCCCCATGGAACCAAATGTCCGTGTTTGTCTGGACATGGCCACTTTGGTGGCAAGTTATATAAATTTGATTCTAAGTTGGTATTTCTGATGTCCTAAGAGAAGGTCCATAATATGATTTCTTTTATATTTGATTCATACTTTTTAACATTGTGCTGTGTATAATATCTGGCATATATTTTCAGAGGCTGCTGACAAAACATTGCAAAGCATAACTGCTACATCTTTGTAACCAGCATTTAAAAGGTGGAAATCCCTGTAACTTATTACAGTGATAATTGGCATTTTACCCAACTGCCAAAGCAAAGTACTGGTAACCACAAAATATATCACAGAAAACTCATGTACTAACACATGTACCAGATGCAAGCAGATGATGTGATATGCAAAGTTTGGCCTATACCTACTGAGGTCAACCATAGCTCCCTGTACTTCAATAGCAGAAGGAATATAGTACATCAGATGCTGCAGGAAATACATATTTATGAGAACAATTATAATTGGGGTCATGAACCATTTAGGATTCTTGCATTTTAAAAGATATTTGTTTGCTTAAATTTAATCCACTTCTAATCTTTTAGTTTTCATAGTTTCATAGTTAGTAGGATCGGAAGGGACCTGAGCAGATCATCAAGTCCGACCGTTTTGATTGGCAGCAATTAAATATTTTGAATACCTTGGTCCTGATGTGAATATACTGAAGGAAACAACTCTTTCATTGACAGAGCAGATGTAAGAGTCCATCTGGCTGGTCATTTCCATTTCTAAATTTTGAGGATACTGGGGTCATAATGACCAATGGGCATAGTTTTTGTCATATCTATTCACCATCATGAACAAATAAGATTTACATTGTAAAACTTAGATTACCAAGTTATATTACTAGGTGCATGCAACTGACAGCCAACAAAATATAAAGTACAAGAGTATTATTAAAACAATACTAAAATACAAACCAGATCATGAGAAAAAGTCATGTTAGTCTATAGTGTTTAACCAAAAGGTACATACTACATGGTAATGACACCACAGAAAACAATTTATAAGAACACATATTCCTTCAGGTTGAGGCTAAGTCAATTTGTTAAAGTGATTGATCTGTGGCATTCCCTTTGTTTAATGATGATCTCTCTGTGTGGTGCTGTAGAATAGACTGTAATGAGAAATATTCCTGGAGTTTGCTTTAGAGGTGGGTCATAAAGCTCAAGACAAATGCACCTGCTTTCAAAGTAATACATCTTGCTGAAAGGATCTCTCTCAACCTTTAATTTTGAAAAACACATACAAAATACAATTTGTATGAGAGAACGGTATCAAATAATAAAATGACACTTCATTACTTCCATGCTATTCAACAGCAAACCTCTCAAAGAGTCTTCCTCAGTGAGAGTACAAGCTGACCCACTGTATCTCACTTTTCTTACCATAACCTCTTAAGTCTACAGAGACCGGGTGGCAATATCCCTCACCAGATTGTGTTGTATTTGCTTTGGCTTCCCTTTCTCCCTGCCTTCTTTGTTCAGCAATCTGTCTTATCACTGTCTCTTTCTTTGTGTGAAGAAGTCTCCTGAGACAGGCACTGAGTGTTTGCCACCCTTCAGTAATAGTGTTTCATGAAAAAAAAAAGTCTTTTAATTGACTTGGCTAGTTTTATATTCACCTCAGCAATAGAATTGGACTGTAGATAGTTGGGGAAGGTACACATTTAATTCCTTTTGTCTAAAAGGGCTGTAAATACAAAATAACATAATCACGGTCTTGTATTTAAATAATATGATGCCCTACAAACTTTACAAATCATGAGTTACTAGAGCATGCTTAGTACACAAATTAAATGCAAAAAAAGTCTTTTAAAGTCTACAAATGTGATAATAGCTTTCTCCATTTAGCTTGCAGCTGAAACCATGCAAAATGTTTTGCAAAGTCCAAAAGAAATTAGTCCAAAAAGCAGAACAAAACTAGGGCCGAAACAGTGCTCCAGTTTTAAATTTTTCCCACTGAATTCGTTTAAGGTAAAATCCAGCCTTGTACAGAGAGACAGTATATGTCTTAGCCTTCAGACCTTGTACTTCCCACTGAACAAAAGCAGATTTCTGTCCTACCATATGCGAGCACTAAAAATGTCATGCATGCTCTTACTTACATTTATATTCATGAATGTTGATGCTGTGATTGTTTCCTATGTACAGTTAATAAAATATATTTCTCTTTCCTATAGGGGTGAAAGCTATCATAAAGGGGACATGAGAACAGAAAAACAAATATACCAGTATTGTCCTTGCGCAGTGATGAACAGCTTTGAGTTTACCAGTGGTCTATTACTCCATCACTGTATCTATCTAATACATTAGAACAAACTCATTTAATATGTCAAAGAATAGACCAGTCTAGTACAATTTACAACCTTTGCTGATTCATTTTCCTCCAGTATTTATGTAAGCATCAATGACTTTTCATGTTTTAGATTAAAAAACACATACAATTATGGTAATAACATAGTACTCCAACAGCACTGTAATGGCATATCACAAAAAAATTCCAAACAATTGGTTAGGAACAAAGCAGTGTCTTGTTTAGGAAGAGCTCTAAAGAACTTTTTGGTTGGGTTAGCTATATCTGTTGAAATGCTTCCATAGAGGAAAGATTGGTTATCTTTATGTGTGTAGAAACATCGGGACATCCCTTTTCACATTCTTTTATAAAGCATCTCACTTTCTTTTCTTATTAAGAAATAAGACTAATGACAAAACCTTTACTATAGACATGATAGAATAAAACTATATGAACAGTGGAACACTCATCAATGATACTCAACAAAAGAGAGACCAGTTAACAACAGTCAAAGCTAAAGTAGTCGTATCAATATGAGCCTTTATCAAAAATATTTCCCAATCAGTATTTCAATATAGTTACCCAGAATTAAAATAAAACCTCATCTACTTTGCTAAAAAATAAAAAATAGTCTCCTTGTAAGCAAAATGGGTAAGTCATTTAAACTTTTAGGTTATATAAATTAGCACAGAAATGTTTATTTGAACAGGAGCACTGAAAACAGATACACCTTCCTTTCTTCTGATATCTTTTACTTGAGTTACTGAGTAACACGTGAGCTTTCATGTTTTCCGAATGACCTTGATAGACTGGCGACCCTAAATGATCAATAGCTGAACCTCAAGAGAATGTTTCACCAGATGGACAGCTATACTAACTTGTATACAATCTATGAAAATGTTTTGCAGCTCAAATCAGAATTTCAACTTCACTATTTCTGGTCATAAGCAGAGAAGAAAGCAGTGTTTTTATATACTGTGGATACCTGATGAGTAGAAACTGGTAGGATGACTGATCAGTACCTATTTTCTACCAATTAACAATATAGTTTTTCAGAAGTAGGTTTTAAAGAAAGGATGAGAGGGGATACACAAGAAAAAACCAACACTTTCTTTTTTTGAATTTGGATGAATCTGTTAAATACTGTACACTGGCATTTTTGTCACTGAACCTTTCAAAAACTGCTTAATGGTAAGATATTCTAATCAGGGTTGACAACAGCCAATTAAGTGTCAGAAGAACAATCTGATAAATATGTCTGTATGTCTATAGGCATTTGCTGATAAGTCTTAACTGTCAATCTGAATGTTAAATATCTTTATTTCCATCTCACTATTGATTAAATTATTAAAGGGAAATGCTTTCATCTTTCTTTTAAATTGATTTTAGGGATATTCCAAAAAAAGCGGGGGGAAAAGAATATTTCTGAACTTGGAATAATCGGTGGGGACCCCTAAATAAAGTAAACCTTTAATATTCAAACTGAGATGTATGGTTTGGTAAAACAACTATTTAACTACCTAGCTGCTTTCATCACCATACAGTTTAAGGTGTTGTATATACTTGCTTTAAAGTAAATCTGTCTCTTTAATGGGTGGAAGGATATCTGTGGACATGCTAGAAGGCTGTCCTCTGCTTTCAGTGCTCTTTGCTAGTCATACTGAAGACAGCACCTCACTGGACGGATCACCTCTCTTCTTGTCTTCACCTCTTTCAATGTCAATCACATGAACGATGCCAGGCTTCAGGATCAAATCATCAGTCTCTATTTGGCTCCGAGTATCTTCCACCTCCACATATTTTCCTTTAGACTGCTGGGTAGCCTTACTGAAGACATCTTTAAAACGATGCTTGAGTTCAACATCTGGACAGTAGACGTATTCATAAAGGGCACCTGCAAGGACTGCTCCTATTATTGGTCCTAACCAATACACCTACAGACAGAGGGAAAAATGCAATAGTACATGTTGAAAAAAAATGGATTTCAGAGAAAAGTGCCTCTACTTTAGACTTTAAAATAATTGGTGTCCACCAAACCACTTGCCTGGAGCTCTTAACCATCCTTACCATGCACATGCACTTACTTAGATACTCCTGTGGCTTTTCCTGGCACATCTGGTGAACTTTCCCTCCCAATGGACTTACAAGATTGGGAGGTGCTATTATTCCCAGTTGTAGTAATGGAGGTGTGTCTGAGCTGCAAACTTACCAAGCCAAGCTGTAGTACCTAAAATACATCACGCTGCAATGCGCAGGTTGTCTCCTGAGCTGGAAGCAATGCAGCTATACTTCTGCAATGATGTGTCTGGGCTAATAAGTTCCAGTGAGTCAATGTTAATTAGCCCAAACACAGAGCCATGCAAACCTAGCTACATGCTTTCTGGTTTAGAAACTAGCACTTTTAGAGTGATGCTGGTATGTTTCAGCATGGGCTGGTATGTTTCAGCATGTTTCAGTAGACCACCACTTTGCAGAGTAAAAACACATCCTCAAGTCCTCAGTGTCTCTGTTCACAGGCTCACAAGTCTTTTTCCTTTCTCTGAAAACGGGAAAATATACACAAAATCCCACCTAGACATCCTGAATGGTACCATCAGTAGATTTAACAGCTCAGACCCTCCTCTTAAATTCTTTGTGCTTTCATGATAAAGCCTAGAAAACCATGGTGAGCACAGAACAACAGGATATGGAGAAGCTACTAAATATATTTAATTTTAGGGATGTTAGTGATGTAGATCCACCATTTCCCTTGTTCTTTTAAAAAGAGAGATCCAAACATCAGGTTACTGGACTACTGGAGAGATTGGCTGGTACATAGGCCAAGGATACTGGGACGCAAAAAGGTCACAAAAAATGCCTCTTTCCACCTACAACCTTTATGTCTCCAAACACCTCTGTGCAATATTCCTCTACCAGTGGACAATATCTTGTACAATATTCCTTACCTACTCCTCAGTGATGACTAGTGGTAGTTGATACTGGTACTGGTGGTCCCAGGAAGCATTGCCAGGTTTCTTGATATGGAGGTTACTTGTGCCTCATGTCCCTTGTGCCATCTGTCTCCATTAATGACAACTGACTAGCTTTTCTTTGAGGGAGCAGAAGGGCTGTAAACTGATGCTGAATTTTGCCCAGTGAGGCAACATGCAAGTTCTTTATCAGACAAGTCCTGATGTTCTCTACATTTCAAATGCTTGGGACCAGTTCAACTATGCCCATAATTTTTTCTCTATGGAGAGAGAAAAGGCCCCTTGTGCAGTCACTTGCCCCTATGCCAAACAAGTGTGGGATGCCACCGTCCTGATGTAGTAATTTTTTTTACACTTTGCACAGGTGAGAATGATGGCCCAAGGGACAGTGCAGTAAAGATTTAGGCCTCTTATCTTCAACAACAGAGCAGTTTTGTGCGATTTTAGCTGGTATGTACATACCCTGTCATGAGGCAGCCTCTAAATAGTTTTTTGTTGGTTGAATTGTCAGTTAAGAACCTCATTTTATTTGCACTTCTTGCAAGTGAGCACAAAGAGAATAAAACTGTAAGCAGCAAATCGATTTGCTTTTTGCATTTCTATTCAAGATGATGAGGTGTTTGTGAGGAAAAGAAACCTTTTGAAGCATATGCAGAAATAATTCTATTTTTAGGATCATGTTTTCAGGAGAATGTAAATCCATAATTTTGAAATCATAGAATGCTTTATGTAGCCGGCTTCTGTGCAGACACAACAGGCAGTTAGGTACCTAATTATTCTTGGATATGCAAATATAGTGCACACACACATACATCTCTGGTGTGTGGTCCTTAATATGACTCTCAGTAGTCCTGTAGAATAAGTGCCTCTGCTAATAGCTGGGGGCCATCTCTTTTGCAATAGTTAGGACAGAAGTTACACCCTCTTAAAATGTTGCTACACAAAACCTGATATGCATATATACAATTAACCGGTTTTTACCCTGTTTTGACTCATTCAGAATTGAAAAATGGCAGTAGTTTTTAATAAGAAGAAACCACTGACTAGAAACAGAGAAAATCTCTTTCAGTTGGATGGAGGAACAAAATTACTGCCATAGGTGTTTGCAGGATTGGAGCCTGATCCTCCTCCAGCTGAAGATAATGGAAATACAATTAACTCCAGAAGAAACAATATAGGACCCGCAACTTCAGATTAAGAATAAACTGTCTCTCTTTCCAGGCAATTTTCTTAAAGATAATGCTAGAATATTCTTAATATTGAATATTAAGCTGGACTAGTTTATGGTACGGTAGCACAGAGATGTCTAGTTTTACAACTGGCATGTGTGCCATGTAGAAATAAGTATTTGAAATTGCTGGGTTGGAACAGACATGTAAAGTGGAAAGTGTCTGGTAATCTCATGCTTCAGAGCTTTGGCTGTCATCTGAGGTAAGGAAGAATTTTTTTCCACTCATGGATGTTACTGGCTTCTGGGTTTTTTCTAATCAGTGCTTAGAAAACCCTGAGTTTCCAAGTTCTTGCTCTTCCACTAACGTCATACTGAATGACACTCTGGGTCAAGAATAAGTTTTTCCTTGAGTGAGAGTGACATAGAGTGCGGGTTTGCCTTTTTTTCCTAAGCTGGGCCATGGTCTTTTCCTAGGATCTCCTGAGCATACATTAACCAACTGTAGTAGCAGGGCACTGGAAGTGCCCTCACCTTCTCTGCTTTTACCTAATGGGATGGTGTTGCAGGCTGTTGGTGTTTTGGATGTCAGCTTGCATTTGTGTGTGTGGGCCTGCAGTGGTCAGTTTGGGGATTCCTTGGGTAAAGGATTGTCTACAAAGGCAGATGACAGGACTCTATGGTCCTATTCTAGGTTCCTAAGCATCTGTAAAAATGCTTTAAGTTTAATTAGGTGAAGCTAGACACTATCCATTTCCCTCTATCAAATATTGAGTTTTTGATAAAACCTTGTAAAGAATGAGTTAGCTGGTTATGGCATCATCATAATCAATGATGACCTCTTAATTAAAATGGCACCCATACCTGTACTCCAAATTGAGCTGACGTTGGCTAATCAAAGCAGGTAATATCTGGTCTGTCTCTTTAAAAGGCCAGATTGCAAACCCCCTATCTCACCTTGGTGAGCAAATAGTCACTCAGGGTTCCTATACTCGTGCATGGAGCCGGCTTCAACATGCTGGAAATACAGCTTGTCGGAGCAGACTTGATTAATCGAGTCTGTTGGAGCATGGAAATTACCGTGCTCCAGCAGACTCTAGCATCATGTGCATCAGTGTCCCTGTGCTGAAAAAGGGCGGCGAGGCACTTTGACCTAAAGCTTGTTTGATGAGTTTTAGTTCAAAGCACCCTGCCACCATTTTCAGTGCAGAGGATGCTGATACACATGACGCGCAGGTGCTTTAAATTAGTACAGCTTGCTAATTAAAGAGCCCCCCCATGCCTTCCAGAGCATATGTAATATGCCCTCAGGTAGTGTCACTGAAAGCAGCACAAAGAGGGTCAGCTCCCTTATTTTGTATGTCTGGCATGATTTGTTTTAGGACTGGGAGAAACGTGACACCTGTGGGAATCCCCTTCTCTCTCCAGCAGCAACTACCTTAAAAAAATAACCTCCCAGTCTACAATACACTACAACTATTCATCCCATCCTGAATAGAAAGAGCACAACATTAAGATGTTTACTTTAGACAAAGTACAGATAAATATGGTAAAGCACACAGCAGGGTCAGTGCCCGCCTTTCTCATTAATGGTCTGTGTGGAATGTGCTATGAAGAACAAGAAAAAAGTTGAGGGGAATTAAAGAAATGCTCGGTGGCATTGTAATGGTAAATGAAACATAAATGCAGGGTTACCCATTGGTTTTCCCATTTTCCCATAATAACAGCAGGTCCAAACGATCGAGCAGG